ACAAGTGAGTCTACGTAACATATACGATAGACGGTGAAATCACTGTTTGTTTATACACGATAAACTCAACGTGGGTAGTAACGATCAAATGATCAATTCTACCAGGAACATGTTAAATTCGAGATTTGACATGAGAGGTGTGAGTTTGGCAGATTTAATCTTTGAGATTAAAATTGTGAGAAGACCGTATGGTCTCGTGTTAAGCCAATTTCATTGTGTTGATTAAATCCTTGCAAAGGATGTTAATCAAGTGGCTTGGACACCGTTAGATACTAACGTACAACTAGCCAATAATCACGAGTATTGTACTTCTCATGGAGAATACATTCAGATTATTGGTAGTTTAATTGTATCCAATGGGTTGTACTAGGTCGGACATTGCCTTTGCGGTTAACGAACTCGGTAGACATACGAGTAACCCTAGTGTTACGCACTAGAAGGCAATAGTGGAAGTTATGAGATACTTATGTATGCTTATGACTTTGGACTGCACAACGTGGGATATCTAGCCGTACTTGGAAAGTATAGCACGGATATCAAAGGACGCTAAGTCCATCAAAAGCTACGTCTTTACGTAGGCCAGTGCAGTCGGTTGGACGGAAATTCTCGAAATGATTTTGTGATAGCTAAGATCCGACGGGATCAAAGCTGAGAGCCTTACACTCGTGTCGCGAGCGAGTAGGCCGAATGGCTAAGCCATTATTTCGAGAATGGTCCTAGTGGTGAACTCATACTTCCAATTTGTGTGCATTGCGATAGTCAAGCCAAAATTGGTTAAGTACAGAGTTAAATGTGGAATGGTAAGTCTAGACTTATAAGTCGTAGATATAATACCATTAAACAATTTCTCACAACGGGGGTTATCTCTATTGACTACGTGATGTCAAAAGATAACGTAGCGGCCGCTAACTCGCTAACCCGAGGGTAAGCAAATGGTTGTTGAGAAGTTGGAATGAGGAATGGGTCTAAAGCCCTTGGACTAAAAGTTCTATAGTGGATACCCAACCTAGCTAGCACCTAGGTTCAATGGGACAACTAAATTATGGAACGGAGCGTGTCACTATGGGGGTCTCGGACTCCCTACCACTCCTCGTTAGAAACAGTGACTCCCGCACGAGGCTAGCATGTTGATGCTTTAATGATTCTTGAGTATGCGGGATACTCGAGAAAGAATCACCTATGTAAGAGAGAAGTGGGGGTCGCTTCAAAGGAGAATTGTTGGGCACAATTCTTTAGAAACTCTCGCAGAACCAGGAACGGTGACCCACGACCAAAATGGGCACACTCATGAGAACAGAGCATGGTTGGGAGGTTCCTGTGTGAGATATGTCATCGTCTACACAAACGGCAGTCGGTTCAAAGACATCGCGTTCTACCGTACAGCCAGTAGAGTAAATATATCTTCACAAGGGAAGGTTCAAAGGGTATAGTGACTCCCTACCTATCCTATGCAGGGATCGACCGTTTGAACACAGTTTTTTCCGATTTCAAAATACCCCGAAAATCAATTTTTCATTCATGTGGGGGATTGTTGGAAAAAAATAGCTTGAAATGGCATAAAATGGCATATTAAGTGGCTATTTTGTGGTACAATTATCAGTGGGGTCCACTTCCGATTTGGGTCGGGTCAAAGTGGATTCGGGTTCTTCGTAGTGAGACGAAGAGATAGATATATTGTACGCTCAAAACGGATAATGGGTGAATGAGATATTGATTCTCAAAGTAGACCCATTTGAGTTGGAAAATGAAGGGAAAAAGTGAGCTTTTGTCCCACATTGGTTTGGGAAGAGGATTTGCCCCACTATTTATACATGAGCTCTTGTTAAGCTTATTAAATTGTATAGCATAGAGGCTCTCTCTCACGCGTAGGGGGTGTAAATCAAATCCCAAACTTTCGGTGTTCATTTTCCAACAAAGCCACTCGGCCAAGTGGCCGAAACTATTGAAACTGTAAGTTTCAAAGTCTCGGCCACGTTAGGCCAAATTTGCAAGTGAATTGCAAATGGCCACGTTAGGCCAAATTTGCATGGGAATTGCAAATTGCAATTTGCAATTGCAATTGCTAATTTCGGCCAGCTTGGCCGAAACTTTGCAAAAGCAGTGGCCGAGATATGCACAGTATACACGAACCAGAAAGCTTCTATTTGTGACTGTTGGGATTTAATTCAGCTGTTATGGGATTAATTCTTTGAATTAAATCCAATTTTAATTTTTGAATTAACACCCATGTTAATGGTTGCTGTTACGGAAGTTGTAGGGGTGCCCCTAAATGCCATAATAAAGGCTATTCACTCCTCAATCCCTATATAAGGAGGGGGTAGAGTGCAGCAGATTAAACAAGCACATTGTGACAAGAACACACAACACAAGAAGTGTTTTCTCTCCTCAAAAACTCTGCTTCTACTCCTTTCTTAAGCCGAACTGTGTTCAAGGCTTTGCTCTAGTTCGCCGGGTTCGTTCGTTTGGGTGCTCAAACGTCGAACCGTAGCGCGTTTTATCCTGGAAAACCTAGGCCACGGCGCTCCTAGCACTTTTGGGAGGTGGCAAATAAGGTTTTAAGGAAAGAGTGGTCTCTTGACTCACGCTAAAAACCCTTATCCAAACACGAGCCAATCTTTCCTTCTTTCGTTTTTGGATTATGCTTCTAAGCAAAAATCCTCCTATAATGTTATAGTTTGGTTGGAATTATAATCTGTGTATTATAAATTCCATTTGGTTGATATGTATATATCTTTTCCGTAGATATTCATGCATATAACCATGGCGGTCTGATTTATATATATATTTGTGTATATATATATATATATATATATATATATATATATATATATATATATATTTCGGATATAATATATCGAATAATATTTTATATACTTTGTGTGTGTATATATAAATATTATTTTACGATATTAAATCGATTTTGGTTCATTATCACCAACAGAGAAGAGACCAAGGTTCAAATTCCGACAGCGACAGTGTGAAATTATGCCCAAAGTGAATAGATCTTTTGTGTGCATCGGCATTTGGCCCTGCTTGCTGAGTCATTAAGTCACCATGATTTACATTTCCTTAAATGCTCTGTCGGAGTGTAGGGGGGAGGGGGGCTTGAGGTTGGAGATTCAATCTTTTGGAGGAGCTAGCATGCAATGGAAGCCATTAATAGAGGTCCATTTACTTGCGTAGAAGATGAAGAGAAAGAAAGAAAAACGAGGGCCATGAGTAGTTAAGTGCCACAATTATGTTCGAGTGAAGGGTGAGGAGAATATGCACAAATGTAGAAGATTTAGGTGTTGGTGTTAGGCAAGTAAAAGTCTAAGAGAGAAGGGTTTGGATAGACTTTTAAATGTTTTTTTGAAAAAGAGTTAAGGGTTTGTGAGTTTAAGTGTGAATTTGAGTAGAGGGTTAGTCATCGGATAAAACGAAGAGTAAAGTAAAGCACTAAAGAGAGAGAGAAATATTTATGGTAGTTCGAAATTTTTTTTTACTCCACTGATACTTGCTTCTACATATGACAATTTTTAATTTGGATTAAGTCATGAACTCCTTGTCGACTTAGTCTTCACTATCTGATCAATCTCTAGGTAAGGACCAGCCACAAAGTCGCATTGCTAAGATGGTTTTTTAACTCCTTTCAGCAAAGAAATATGGGTGAGGTTGAGGTTGGACTTTTAGAATATAATCAAGATGATTATTCTTTTAGATTAGAATACTTGATAAAGTTTTGAATGATGAATCAGATAGCAATTATCTCTTTTTCAGTAACTTCTTCTAAGCGGGGTCCTCCTTTTATAGACAATGGAGGTTGATTGTCAACTTGAAATTTAAATTTACCATTTATCACTCAACAAGTGATAACCGTCCAAAAGCAAAGCTGTCACAATTTCCAAAAATACGCTGCCAAATCCTTGATTTGCGCTGCCGTGAACCATAAGGTAAATACCGTTTTCCTATCGGTGTATAAGTACACTTTGGTTCAGAAATGCTCCATCTACTTATCACCAATTCATCTTCTATGTAGACTAGTAGCTAGTATCAAACAACTTGACATGTGCCTAACAGCGCAACTCTTTTATCCTTCCTCAAATGAACTCCTTTCGAGGTTGATATATTCATTTTTCTTTGAAAGAGTATAAGTTGGTTTCCATAACAGGTAGTGATTGTAGAAAATGTGCATGATTATGTACTTGTAGCCCTTCGACTGCCCAAACCCTTCAGAGATGACTTATTCTGACTGAGCTTCTTCCGGATGCATTCCTTCAAATAGCATCCCTTGACTAGACTTCCTCCAGTAGAAATGGAAGTTAAATGCGATTAACAATAGAGGGCCGGGGTTTATAAATGCTAATACAAATTACTCTCATTATCAAAATCTATAAACAATTATTTCTTACTATACAATAGGAAAATGATGTTGTCGGCTCAATAAACTGGAATATTGGAGGTTTGGATTTGCTTCTAAACAAAAGATGACTAGAGATACGAGTATTTAATTTCTGTGGCAAATTCTTCTTCTTTAATTTGCTTACAAGATGAAAGTAACCAATTCGATCTTCCTTAGCCTTCTCTTAATTATTTCCTAATTTGGGTTCAACTAACCATGCATGTTGGGACAACCTTATTTCCGATCCATTACTTCATCACTGGTCACTCACTTTCTTGTACTATGAGAAGGCATGCATTAGTGACGAGTGATGGTCCTGATTAAGAAGAATAGGTCTAAAACTTTTTGAAAATAAGTAAATCAAACTTGAATGTTTGACTATAAGAGTTAATCTTTCAACAATACCTGGAAAAGTTATGTTGAAATGTTAACTAAATACTATGCACATAAAAAAAGATACCCCAAACTTCAAATGAGACTTAATTGATCATATCGAATCTAATGTAAAATCCATTATCTTGAACTAATATATAATCTTCTGATAAATTTAGACTGACCCATTTTTGTTTTGATAGAAAAAAAAGCTAAGCTACTTACTCTTTTCATCAATTTGGTTTAGGGACTTTGGTTGGGGATCACAATAGCCCTCTTCGTACAAGCAGTACTGTACTTTATAATTACTTTGCGAACAAACTGGGAAAATGAGGTAAAATATATATCAAACCACCTTTCTATATATCCTTTTCCATTTTCACTTTGGTAACCAATAATTTTCTCTCTCTCTCTCTCTCTCTCTCTCTCTCTCTATATATATATATATATATATATATATATATATATATATATATATATTTTGATCGTCTGATGGATGGAAGTTGGTTCTGATGTTAATATATTGCAGGCAACGAAGGCTTTTGATAGAGTACACAACACCAAGCATGACGTTGCAGTAGCATGAGGATTGAGGAATATTTTATAGACAAATATTATGTTGTTGGAACAAATAAATTATAGATCATGCATTCATGCAGTGATTACATAAATGTGATTAACGGTCTCCGTAAAATAACCTATGAATTTCCCTTGTTGGAATTTTTAGAATAAAATGACATAGAAAGTGGCTATTTTGTGATACAAATATATGTGGGTACGCTTTCGATTTGGGCCGGACTCAAGTTCTTCGTAGTAAGAAGAAGAAGAGATTAATATATTCTATGCACAAAACAGATTATAGGTGAATGAGAAATTGATTATCAAATAGACTCATTTGAGTTGAAAAATGAAGGTGGAAAGACTTTGTAAAAACACTTGTATCACATTGGTTTGGGAAGTGGTTTGCACCACTATATATTCAAAAGCCTTTTAGAAGCATGTTGACAAGTCGTAATATGCGTGGGGTGGAAAGAAGGTTGGGAATGAAGATTCACGGGGTTGTCTTCTCAAAGGGTGGACAATCAGAATCGAATGCCGTGAAGTCAAACACAAGCACCTATATGCAATAGGAAGCTAGGAGAAAGCATTGTGCAAGGAAGAAGAATGCAAAGCAAAGAAATGAAACTAGTAAGGATGGTGTTAGGTGAATTGGATTCCTATCCCTTGTGTGTGTGAAATGAATCAACATAGGAGTGCAACTAGTGGTGCATAGCCTACGTGAGATGACTCCCAATACCGTTCACCTCTTGGTTTACTAGGCATTTCCTTTGTATATATGGAGCACCATTCCGGCGTAGCTAAGTAAATCAACATTGCAATATGAAATCAAACAACAATTAGAGAATGAAAGCAATAAGAGAATACCAAATTGGACTGCAATAGTTGATCACTTCTACAATTGTCCCTTGAATTGAAGGTTGTCAATCTTCTTCTCCAAGAGTTCTTCAACAATGGAATAGGCTAGAGATGACCCAGATTCTAGAAAGAGAAATCTAATCTACTAATTGGGAGAAATTACAAATTGAAATGATATTACAAATTGAAATGATAGATGATGAAGGAAATGTAAATCTATCCTAAGAACCCTAACTAAGAGTGCTAAAATCTGATTTCTAAAGATGGAAAGTGATTGGTTATGAAGTAGTCCCACAACTAGCCTTTTAAATAGACTAAATCCTGAAATTTCCGCGCTGAACTTCACAAAGCACGCCACAACGCGCGTTGTGGAATGCGTGGAACTTTCGGTTTCCCGACAACGCACTTTACAATGCACGTGGGAGCGCGTGCTTTAGAATTTTCCCTTCTTATCTTATGCAAAGTTGTATCCCTTTAAGTTGCCGAACCATATCCACTTGAATCACCTCATTTGGACACTCCTAGCTCAAGATATGATCAATCTACCGAACTGTCGCCGGAATGCCCTACAAATGACAATGTTTTTGCTCTTTTTTTCCAAAGGCAATCCAATTAGTCCTTAATCCTAATTTCTATCAATTTAAGCACAAAATAGGCTCAAAGGTATCCACTTATAGCACAAAATGCCTCCTAATTACCCTATAAAACATAGCATATTTGGCGCTTATCACAAGTTTCAACACTTTAATTCTTGCTCGTCCTCGAGCAAGCTTGCAATAAACTCAATGATCATTTAAGTGCCAAAGATGTTTCTCATGGCAGGCTTAATGTTAACTTAATTCATCCAATGGTCAATCAAGATAAGTGTCATGCCAACGGAGTGGGTGAAGTCCCCGACATTATGTAATAAATATGCTTGTAACACCCCAAAAATTTGAAACTTTTAAAACTTATATAACAAAGGTCAATTCTCATTAAATCCCCAAACAGAGTAGTACTAAACGTACGAGTGCGGGGTGCTATGCCACATCTGAGAGCTGCAGAACTCAGATGCACAGGCTAAACTAACTAAATATCCTCAATACATCATCATGGCACGCATGCCGAAAGGAAAACTATCTATCTACTCCAAGTTCTTCTAGCGCGCTCTGGGAGCTAATCATCTGTGCCTGAAAGCCAAATATATCTGTTTAGCGAATGATGCCGGTAACCCACTCCAACGCGTTGAAATACATTATAGATAGATATATATAGATATATGAAAATCATTTTGAAGCAGGAAGATATATACTTAAGAGACTCTAGTTTTAAAACCAGGAATAGACTCAGCAAATAGGGACAAGCACATTAATCAAAGATAAATAGTTAATAATCAAGTGGCTTGGACACCGTTAGATACTAACGTACAACTAGCCAATAATCACGAGTATTGTACTTCTCATGGAGAATACATTCAGATTATTGGTAGTTTAATTGTATCCAATGGGTTGTACTAGGTCGGACATTGCCTTTGCGGTTAACGAACTCGGTAGACATACGAGTAACCCTAGTGTTACGCACTAGAAGGCAATAGTGGAAGTTATGAGATACTTATGTATGCTTATGACTTTGGACTGCACAACGTGGGATATCTAGCCGTACTTGGAAAGTATAGCACGGATATCAAAGGACGCTAAGTCCATCAAAAGCTACGTCTTTACGTAGGCCAGTGCAGTCGGTTGGACGGAAATTCTCGAAATGATTTTGTGATAGCTAAGATCCGACGGGATCAAAGCTGAGAGCCTTACACTCGTGTCGCGAGCGAGTAGGCCGAATGGCTAAGCCATTATTTCGAGAATGGTCCTAGTGGTGAACTCATACTTCCAATTTGTGTGCATTGCGATAGTCAAGCCAAAATTGGTTAAGTACAGAGTTAAATGTGGAATGGTAAGTCTAGACTTATAAGTCGTAGATATAATACCATTAAACAATTTCTCACAACGGGGTTATCTCTATTGACTACGTGATGTCAAAAGATAACGTAGCGGCCGCTAACTCGCTAACCCGAGGGTAAGCAAATGGTTGTTGAGAAGTTGGAATGAGGAATGGGTCTAAAGCCCTTGGACTAAAAGTTCTATAGTGGATACCCAACCTAGCTAGCACCTAGGTTCAATGGGACAACTAAATTATGGAACGGAGCGTGTCACTATGGGGGTCTCGGACTCCCTACCACTCCTCGTTAGAAACAGTGACTCCCGCACGAGGCTAGCATGTTGATGCTTTAATGATTCTTGAGTATGCGGGATACTCGAGAAAGAATCACCTATGTAAGAGAGAAGTGGGGTCGCTTCAAAGGAGAATTGTTGGGCACAATTCTTTAGAAACTCTCGCAGAACCAGGAACGGTGACCCACGACCAAAATGGGCACACTCATGAGAACAGAGCATGGTTGGGAGGTTCCTGTGTGAGATATGTCATCGTCTACACAAACGGCAGTCGGTTCAAAGACATCGCGTTCTACCGTACAGCCAGTAGAGTAAATATATCTTCACAAGGGAAGGTTCAAAGGGTATAGTGACTCCCTACCTATCCTATGCAGGGATCGACCGTTTGAACACAGTTTTTTCCGATTTCAAAATACCCCGAAAATCAATTTTTCATTCATGTGGGGGATTGTTGGAAAAAAATAGCTTGAAATGGCATAAAATGGCATATTAAGTGGCTATTTTGTGGTACAATTATCAGTGGGGTCCACTTCCGATTTGGGTCGGGTCAAAGTGGATTCGGGTTCTTCGTAGTGAGACGAAGAGATAGATATATTGTACGCTCAAAACGGATAATGGGTGAATGAGATATTGATTCTCAAAGTAGACCCATTTGAGTTGGAAAATGAAGGGAAAAAGTGAGCTTTTGTCCCACATTGGTTTGGGAAGAGGATTTGCCCCACTATTTATACATGAGCTCTTGTTAAGCTTATTAAATTGTATAGCATAGAGGCTCTCTCTCACGCGTAGGGGGTGTAAATCAAATCCCAAACTTTCGGTGTTCATTTTCCAACAAAGCCACTCGGCCAAGTGGCCGAAACTATTGAAACTGTAAGTTTCAAAGTCTCGGCCACGTTAGGCCAAATTTGCAAGTGAATTGCAAATGGCCACGTTAGGCCAAATTTGCATGGGAATTGCAAATTGCAATTTGCAATTGCAATTGCTAATTTCGGCCAGCTTGGCCGAAACTTTGCAAAAGCAGTGGCCGAGATATGCACAGTATACACGAACCAGAAAGCTTCTATTTGTGACTGTTGGGATTTAATTCAGCTGTTATGGGATTAATTCTTTGAATTAAATCCAATTTTAATTTTTGAATTAACACCCATGTTAATGGTTGCTGTTACGGAAGTTGTAGGGGTGCCCCTAAATGCCATAATAAAGGCTATTCACTCCTCAATCCCTATATAAGGAGGGGGTAGAGTGCAGCAGATTAAACAAGCACATTGTGACAAGAACACACAACACAAGAAGTGTTTTCTCTCCTCAAAAACTCTGCTTCTACTCCTTTCTTAAGCCGAACTGTGTTCAAGGCTTTGCTCTAGTTCGCCGGGTTCGTTCGTTTGGGTGCTCAAACGTCGAACCGTAGCGCGTTTTAATCCTGGAAAACCTAGGCCACGGCGCTCCTAGCACTTTTGGGAGGTGGCAAATAAGGTTTTAAGGAAAGAGTGGTCTCTTGACTCACGCTAAAAACCTTATCCAAACACGAGCCAATCTTTCCTTCTTTCGTTTTTGGATTATGCTTCTAAGCAAAAATCCTCCTATAATGTTATAGTTTGGTTGGAATTATAATCTGTGTATTATAAATTCCATTTGGTTGATATGTATATATCTTTTCCGTAGATATTCATGCATATAACCATGGCGGTCTGATTTATATATATATTTGTGTATATATATATATATATATATATATATATATATAATATATATATATATTTCGGATATAATATATCGAATAATATTTTATATACTTTGTGTGTGTATATATAAATATTATTTTACGATATTAAATCGATTTTTGGTTCATTATCACCAACAGAGAAGAGACCAAGGTTCAAATTCCGACAGCGACAGTGTGAAATTATGCCCAAAGTGAATAGATCTTTTGTGTGCATCGGCATTTGGCCCTGCTTGCTGAGTCATTAAGTCACCATGATTTACATTTCCTTAAATGCTCTGTCGGAGTGTAGGGGGGAGGGGGGCTTGAGGTTGGAGATTCAATCTTTTGGAGGAGCTAGCATGCAATGGAAGCCATTAATAGAGGTCCATTTACTTGCGTAGAA